GATACCCAAAATTCCATTGCAAGTGTAATTTTATAAAACAATATTGGGATTATGCAAAGCGAGAGACCAGAAAAATATGCAATTATAGTTTCTCAGACTTACTAAAACAGGTTTTAAAAGTTCTTATTAATGTGTCTATAGCAACTATTTGCAAGTTTGCATACAAGTACTAGAAATACATGGATGCATATAACCAAGGGTTAGAAGGTAGAGCTGCAGAATGGGCTGTTAGTAAATACAAATCACATCATCGAATACCCGAAAGTATTGAAAGAATAATGGAATAAATGGGTTATTAATATGAAATTATAATAAAAATTAATTGCTCAATTATAATTAATATATACATAGCTGTTTTTATATTTTTATTACAGTATCATATTTTTAAATTCTTTCATACATCATTCTATTGTTCTATAGTTAAAGGGAAAATTTTAAAATAATGCATATGCTTTGTCATAAAATTATATATGCTCGTGTTTTAATGCCATTTGTTTTTCCTAATTATTACACAATTTTTATGAATTCTTATTGGATAATTCTAAATCACGTGATTTGTGATCGGTGTCAAAAATTGAAACAAAGTCACGTGATTATTGAATATAGACTTCCAGTACCATATATAATTTGTTTAAAAATAGTTAGTACCATTTTGAAAATTCCATCTATAATCCAAAAAAAAAGACTTTTTTAAGTGTCTAACATTAGCAATAGTTGTAAAAAGCAATATTCTGTTATTATTCACTATAGAATCTTTAACTAAAAAATCAGAACCATTTAAGGTTTTTTTTAAATTTTCAGGAATAACAAGGTCTCTTAAAGATTTTGATACTGCAGGTAAATCCTTATTTCTAATTTTTCTAATAGATTGATGAAGTGCATTATAAGATGAAAGGTATGGATATACTTCTTGTGAAGTATCTGCTATTGTAGATTGAATAATTTGTATAGGTTTATCATTAGTTTGTTATGCATGCTCTTTTAATATATTAATAGTTTTTATAACGTTGACCTGACTGGCTTCTGTAGCATGATTGTGATCAGAAGCATGTTGAAGATAATGTTGATCTTCAATTAATTTAGTAGTTACCTGCCTACAACATTATAGTAAATTACGTTTTTTACAAGCCAAGTAATATAAATTTCTTCAATTTTTGTCTTTAATCATAAGATAACTATGAACATTAAGTTTATCTTTATTACAAATAGAAGGCACAACTTTACAGATAATATTATTCATTGAGAAAGTTAAATAAAAATAGTAAAGTAAAAAAATAGAAAAGAGAAGAGTTGTTTGATCTTTGTTAAATAGAAGCTATCCTTAAATAATTAATATTTTATTATCGGTAAAATGATTATGTCGGTAAAATGATTATATTAGTAAAATAATTATGTTAGTAAATTGATCATATCAGTAAAATGATCATGTTAGTAAAGTAATTGTAGGTAAAGTGGTTATCAGTATAATGATCATGTTAGTAAAATGATCGTTAACAAAATTATCATCGGCAAAATGTTTGTCGATTAAATTAATGGGTTCCGTTGAATTTTTTGATATGCTCAATTATCAAACTCCTCAGTGATTACTAATTCAAAAGTATTCATTTTAAGTTATGTATACAAATTTACAAATTTCGTGTACAATTAATCTTTTTAATTGATAAAAAAATGTAGGCTATATCAGAATCTTGCAATATTATACTATTAGTTTATTCTTAAGAACAATATCATCGAATTCTAAATTTTGTAATTTATTCTTATTTTTCAAAATGTCACTAACATAAAGTCTCATAAGTTTATGTAATTATTCATATAGTACTAAAAATCATATTGGAATTCTTCAGATTTATAATTAAAGAAATGTCTATGTTAACAGAAAATTCAAGAATGCCTTTAATTTGAAAATGCTGAATTTTGATATTCTTTTATTTAAAAAAAAGTTCTCTTCAGAGACAAAAGAAGTTAACTTCTATATAATTTTCCTGTAAATATTTTCCAATTTGAAATAAGAACTATAAATCAAGAATAAAAAGAAGAGGTTTATCAGATACTTATTAATTTCAAAGTGATATTTTCGTCAAATCCATAAACAAAATTGGTTGAACTTTTCAAGAATTTATATAAAAAAAGCAGTTTAATACCATCATCAATAAACTTGATTTAAAAAATTTATGACATCTTTAAGTATGACCTGATTCTGATTAGCTTGATGACTTAATCTTCAATCCTCTAAATGACAAAAATCATTGCAACCTCAAAAACTTTTTTGTAGACTGAATTTGAATCTAATTTATCAATTCGAATCTTTATTTTGAAATCTTCTTCAAACTGATCAGACAAATATTTATTAAGTTCAAAACTACCTAAGTCTTTTTGGTAGCTGATATACAGTCAACTCTTGTTATAACGAACTCTATGTCCTAGACCTCAACTTCGCTATAAGGCTATAGTGAAGATT